GGGGTTTCACTGTGTTAGCCAGGATGGTCTCGATCTCCTGACCTCATGATCCGCCCATCTCAGCCTCCCAAAGTGCTGGGATTACAGGCTTGAGCCACCGTGCCTGGCCTCCATTGATATATTTCTAAATAGGTATTCCTCAATCACATTTCCAAAAATGCCTATGAATAAATACAAATCCATATAAATTCTGTAATTAGGTCAGATCACTTTACTGAATTAGGTTATTTTAATTTTTCTATCAATTTTATGTCAGTTAAGGTTAATAAACAGTCTGACCTTCTGACTTATTTCTGTGAAGCATCTTGTGAAGAAAACAAAAAACCAGATTCAATAACAATGATTCTTTTTTTCTTCTCAGCATTTACAAATTTTTCAAAATGAAATTTTGTTCATTCAGACTCACCTCTCTAAAGGGGCTTCTGAAAGCCTGCCCCTACAGTTCATGAACAACTTTATCTTCATGTTGATAATCTTGCCAAGTACCTATTGGAAAGAAATTCTCAGATTTGATATTAAATAATATTAATAGCTAATATTTGTTATGCATTTACTATGTACCAGGTACTATATTAAAACTTTATGTTCATTATCTCACTTGATCCTTATAATGCCCTGCTGAAATAGTGCTTTTGCAGTTTAGGTACAGAGAGATTAATGTGCTCAAGGTCACACAGTAACTCACAGCAGAGGCAAGATTTTAATCCCAACAGTTGATTTCAATGTCCCAGGATTATGTTGCTTGCCCTTTGCCTAAAGTGACTTTTTTTCATAGTATCTAAATTTCCTTAGTATATTAGAACCTTGATCTGCAAATACAAAGTGGTGACCTTACAACAACATTGGCAGTATCCTGATTCTTTTGGAATTCGGAAGTTCTTGGCTACCTACAAATAAATACTTTCTTTTCATTTCCCTGGATCATAAGAAGTAGAGGAAGAATTACTAATTTTGATAGTCCCCATCTCCACATAGGCAACATGTCAGTGAAGATTCGAAAGCTATTAGCTAACAAAGGATATAGGTAAAGGGAGAAGTAACAAAACAGATACATGTAACAGAAAGAATACAGGCTTGATGAGAAATTAGAACATAAAGACTAAGGATTACAGAGATTTGAGTTTCAATTCTTATTCTATCACTCATCATATTTGCTACTCTGGAGGTCACTGAACCACTGTTTTTCTCAAGTGTTAGATGAGAAATTATCCATTTCTTCCAATAAATTATCCTGTTATAAATTAAGAAATAAAGTTGCTCAGAAATAAAGTACATTATTATTACCAATGATGGAAACTGGAATGCAATTCCATATTTTATATCTCTGTATAATTTCCTCTTTCTTTCTCTCTCATTCTTATTCTCTCTCTCTCTCTTCCTTTCTTTCGAGACATAGTCTTGCTCTGTTGCCAAGGATAGACTGCAGTGGTGTGATCATGGGTCACTGTTAACTTCAAATCCCTAGACTCAACCAATTCTCCCACCTCAGCATCCTGAGTAGTAACTACAACTACAAGTACACAGCATCATGTTTGACTTATTTATTTATTTTTTTTAGAGACAGGGTCTTGCTATGTTGCCCAGGCTGGTCTTCAATTTCTCAAGTGATCTTCCTGCTTTGGCTAATTGCACACTTCTTACTCCTAAATTCTACTTTTATATAAAAATTTTTCAAATTTAACTAATATGCTTTTTTGTGAATAATGACTCTCCATAGGAATAGAGATTTTGCATACTAAAAAGCATCATACTAGCTCCACTCCTTTCAGATGTGATTGCTTTCTAAAGAATAACCTGAATAGTATATTTCAAGACATATAAATTTAAAGGTATAACCAATGCTAAAAGAACAAATAGGTAAATCAGTTATGGGATTAAGTTTGTCCTACTCGTTTCATAAACTGAACAGCTAGAACGACAAAGTCTTTCCAAAATTATTTGTCTCCACTAATAAAATCTCATTTTCCAATGAGATTTGACAGTACGCACTACTTAAAAAAAATTGCATTTTGAAATTTCAATATACAGCAGAATCATATGGCTTGATCACTTACATTTTCACCAGACCCAATATCTAATTACTTTTGCCTGTTCCAAAAGTGAAGTCAACTACCAAAGGACAAATAGTTTGTAAAATTTTCAATATCACTAGAAAAACATACAGCCTTCTAATGGAACTAGTTTATTCAAATTTAACTACTGAAAGCTGCATTCTAATTTGAATGTTTGAAAGTGGTGCCAAGTAAAACAGTAAGCCACATAAGTCCTTTTGGAGACTGATACCTGTCTCTTTCACATTCATTTCGTCTTTCATAGGGGAAGAATTTCCAGGTTTATGCAGGACTTGTGGCCATAGTTTCCAGCCTCCCTTGTCATTCAGTGTAGCCAGCCTGGGGGCCTTCTGGTCAGTGAGAAGTGATAGGACAGTATACATCTAACTTGGGGGTTGTGTTCTTATTCTCCCCTTCCTGCTGGCAGAAGTGCAGAGATGATGTTAGGGCCTGACTGGTGATCTTAGGTGCTTCGTGACTGCTCAACAATGGCACAGGCAGTGCCTGAGTCCCTCACACTGTGTAGCTGCTTTAGCAACCCCAAGGCAGCCTACACTTAGACCGGGAGATGAAGGAAAGAAACTTCAGTCTTGAAAGTAGTGTTATTTTGGCCTTTGTTACAGCGGCCAAACCTATAGAATACAAACTCCATGTTTCCCCTTTCCTCAGCTTCACTTGTTTGGAAAGTACAATAAATAATGTTAGCCAAGTTTTATCCACTTAAGCTTAAGCTTCAGCTTCTCCAAAAGCCACACTTCACAACACATGAAAGACACCTGCATTAGTCTTCTCAGGCTAACATAACAAAATACCACAGATGGAGTGGTTTAAACAACAGAAATGTATTTTCTCACAGTTCTGGAGGCTGGGATTTCCAAGATCAAGATGCTAGCTGATTTGTTTTCTGGGGAGAGCTCTCTTTCTAGTTTGCACGTGGCTAACATGTCACTGTGTGCTCAAATAACCTCTTCTTTGCGAAGTCTCCCTCTCTTCATCATCTTTTAAGGCCACCAATCCTATTGGATTAGGGTCTCACCCATATGACCTCAGTTAACCTTAATGATCCCCTTAAAGCCCTATTTCCAGAGAGTGTCACACTGGGGGTTAGGGCTTCAAGTTCACTGAAACCTGTTTCATGTGTTGAAATATGAATTTTGTGGGGAATACAATGCAGTTTATAACACCACCTAACCTCAGCACAGTCCTAACAACACCCTGTGCACAGCTCCATCATTTCATTTTCTGCACTGAAATACGACACTATTAAAATGGTGAAGAATCAAGAGCACAAACAGCTGATTATACTTGAAAATAGACTTGAAAAAATTATGAATTTAAAAACAAAAATATTTAGTCTAATTTATATTATCTTACAACCAATAATTGTGCCATTTTCTGTGCTTCTCTTGTCAATGGATCAACAATAGCGATGACATCGAAGAACATATCATTCTCTTGAGGATTCATCTTTATAACACTAAGAAAATAGAAAATAAGATGAAAGATGATGAGTTAAGTTTATACAAACAACTAATTAATCATGATCTCAGCCATATAATTCTTATAAATTATTTTCTTTCTCACTAAAATTGTAAAATACTGGTTATTTCACACAATGCAAATTTGAAAATCTGTTTTCAACAAATTACAAAACTGAAAAGAATGAGAGAAAATGAAGTAAGATTTTATGAATGAAGCAATTTTTTAAAAGCCTTTCAAAGAATGATCCCATTAGTGTAAAAACTCTGATAATTTTAGGCCCTCAAAATTCTGATGGGTTGTACAATTTAAAAAATAAAGCCAAGATGTTTTCGTGTTAGTGGAATATATTTCTTCAGATTTGGAATAAAATTAACTATTCTACTTTATTAAATTTAGTATTTCAAAAAATCAATATACTGTAACAGGTAAGTTCAGGAACAAAAATATCCAAATTAATCATCCTTTATTTTGATCACAGTCTTCCTCTCCTCACCTCATTCCCTCTGTCCTATCCGTTTTTGTCTTTCACCAATATACGTTCTAAATTAGAAGATGGACTAATTTTTTAAAGGGAAATGAGAAAATGATTAAAAGTACAGAATAGGCCAGAGGGAGACAGTCAATTCTATATTTAATGTAACAAAAAGTTAATGGTGTATATTTGATTAAAAGCAGAGAATATTCTACTGAATTACTGTTTTAACACTATAATCATGTAGGAAATATTTTTTCTCAGATGTAGGATGAATTAACTATACATTTTACTATTACAAAGGAAAAAAGTTACCAAATCAAGAGGTGCACATGTAGTTACAGGAATATTAGTTTCTTTGGTAGGAAAAGGCTTTCTGCAGTGAGGGGATTAATTGCTCAGCAATTTTTAAAAAGCTAATATAGTTACTTCAAATATGGGTCATCTGAATAGAAAACTGCAAAACATTTTTCTATGCAGTTGACATGATTTAGTTATGTTAAAATAAGAGGGGCATAGTCAGACAACAGACCTTAATGGATAATTATTGCTAGATGTAAGAGCCACAGATCAGATGTTCTGCTATTAAACTGACTCTCGACAGTTGTTGCTTCCTGTAGTTACCTTGGTGAAAATTTTACAAATTACTATCCTACTTTGTAACACCACTCAAAACTGGTCATTTTAGGTATGCCTTATGAGATGTTATCATGGCTTCAGTATGCATCTGTTTGCTGCTTTTTTTCTCCCAGACTACTGCTAATTCTATGAAGTCGTATGAAGCAGAATTCCATAGTCCCCACCATCTGATTATATATGTACTGGACAGTCCCGAGCCCACTAGTAGGTATTACACTGACTAACCCAAGAATGGAACAGAACATCCTTTTTCTCATGCAGTATTAACAACAACATCCTAATGACCACCTATTTAAGGTAACAGATTTGTACTCAATTGCCAAAAAACTATTGATACACTCCATGTCATTAGCCAGGAAGAGTACTGTCAAGCACACTGACAGTCATTTAATTATTAAAGCCCAGGTCAGAAAAAAAAAAGGGTGAAGAACTGCTTAGGTATATACAGTTTATCAACTCTTACAGATATACTGAACACATTTCAAACAGGCTGTTGCAATAGAAAACTCTGAGTTGAATTTTGTTATGATACTGTTAACCTATCCATAAAATAGGTCAAGTAATCTATTTTAAGAATATTGAAAACACTGTACGTCATATAGCATCCTCTTTATAAAGGCTCCTGGGAGAAATTCCTTTGTCCTCTCTCTTCTAAGAATACTTACATTTCACCTGAATATCTAGTTTGTTTTCCTCTCGTGAACTGAGGAACTGTATAAACTGGAAAACTTAGAGCCAAATTCATGGTATGCTCACAGCAGGAGGGTCACTACTGCCACAGCCTGCAAGGCTTCCTTCAAGACCTCATAGTTTCTCACACAACTTACATTTAATGATGTAAGTTCCTGGGATGACGGGGGGAGTAGTTAGGATTGCTGTTTTTGCCTTTGTCTAAGATGTTAGGAGAATGGCAAATCCACACAGTCTAAATGGAAGGGAATAGGCTAATATAGAGATCTTTCAGGGCTGGGGAAAAAATATAATTGTTTTTTCTCATTTTTCACTTTATTCCATATTTCAATTTACTCCTACTTTTTTCTTTCTCCTTTTGCAAACCTTCTAATTTAAGTTACCTTCTCAAATTTAAATTTTCTTATAAGCCAATTTAAATTTTAAAAGTTGGAATTAAGATCAAACATATCAATACAGAAATAACAGATTTATAACAAGTGTTTTAACATATTTAATTATAAAATAACTCCCTATAGATATAGAAGCAGAATGGCAAAGATACAATGCTGTGTTTAAACATATATATTGATACACACACATCTCTCTCTCTAAAAAGCTGTGAATAAATATTTTTATGTGATTATAGAAGTATATGCGCATATGCTCATGAAATAATATACAGACATAACTGTGGAAATAATACTGATAATTCATAAATTCAAATGTAAAGTGACCTGAAGTATTTGCCCATCACTGTGGCCTACTGTATTATCCTAATTATCAATTTCCAAAGGTTCACTGACATTTTCTAAAATTCGATAACAGAGTGTGACTTTAATATAGAAATTTACATATAAATTTAACCGTATTTATAAAATATTATTTCCCTTGATAGGAAAGAATGCTCTTTGACAAAATAAAAAATGGTATTTCTAGACAAAATTACTAAAGGTGATAACTGTAAGACACTTGAGTGAGCTCAGGGAATCTTCAGTAGTAGTATTTTTTTTAAAAGCAGTTTAGTTACTTTTACAATTAACGAGGCACTCTCATAGAGAATATGGGCATAGAAATCACATATGATAGTGATTAAACAGCCTTTTATTTCCATCCTACCACAGGAGCCTGACAGAGTAAATCCTTGGACCCTTGGTACATGCAGCAGCTTTATAATGTGTCAACTTGACCAGCCTAAATCATATTTTCCAGAATGTTTCTGGCTTGAGTGGGCAACAACAGAGATTCTCAGGAGATCTAGAGGACAGAGAGGCAGCAGCAGCAATTTTGCAGCTCACACACTTGCTGTTGATCTGCTGATTCACTTTGCTGGCCTGAGGCAGCAGCTGGGCCTACACTGTTCAGCTTTGCCTGGACCCTCCCTTCACTCATCTGAACTCTTGCTCATGCTTTTGTGTTTAGCTTTGTGACAGAGGCCACCCTACATTTGATTAATCAGGACTCTTCCATCACTTTACACATTGAAAATATAAAGATAATATTATTTATGACTATCTTGAGATACTGCAAAAATTACAAATGATCTTAAGCATGAAAAATATTAAAAATATGACAAATTATACTATGCTTAACTTACTTGAAATTTCGTATCCTCTCTCTCCATATATATTACCCTTTATTTACTAGAATATATAACTAACTAGAATTTATCTTCCTAATGCTGTCAAGCACATTTATTCCCTAATAAATTACTTTTAGTTCTACCTTAAATTTTACCATGATATGAAAACAAATGGAAATAATTGCATGCATTAACAGAAAAACCACAAACAGATACGATTACATTCTTACCTGTGATTCTCCCTAAGAAATGTGACATCATATCGAGATGCACGCTTAGGCAAAGAGGACATAAGGGCATCAACTTTCATAATAAAGTCACTCATGCTAGATAAACAAGACAAATAGTGTATGAGTTTTTTGGAAAGAGAAAGTTCCATATTTCATGTTACAATTAATGCTTCAAGAAAGGCTTTATATATCTGAACATGGTTAAATCTACCTAAGTAGACTGCAAAGGGAGACCTATGTATAATAGCATTTCTCTAAAACAGTCACAGCCTTCAACACAATAAACACCAATAATGGATACTTACATATGAAGCAAAAGTATAAACACAAATATGGGAACCATGCATACAACCTTTAGGAAAATGGTCACCTCTTGGGGAGGGAGGAGATTGGGGTGGATGGGTAAGAAACAAGGAGAAAGACAGTCAAGGCAAAGAAAACATTAACATCTACAGTTTTGTGATGGTGAGTAAATGGATGTCTTTTATAATTTCCTTATATTCTTTATATATGCCTTTTATTATACCTTTACTTGTCCATATATTTGAAACATTTTCTAATCTTAAAACAAAAACATTAGACTCAAAATACCAAACCCAAGTGAACTGCTCTTAGAACTTATATACTCACTTATTTGAGTTGATTCCCATATTTTCAACAATGTCTTTAATTTTCTCTACTAAATTACTAAATGTTATCTTTTCCAACAAGTAAAAATCTTCTGCATACAAATCTTCATCTAAAGGTCCTAAAAACTTAAAATAAAAACCATTATAGTATATCTTCTAGAAGATACCAGTTTAGGAAAACATTTCCTCATCAAATAGATACTTCTTTGTTAAGCAAAAATGAAGTAGAGATTAAAGATATGGTAATCCTGCCATTTACTAATCCTGCCATACACTAGGAAACAAGATACAAATACTTTCTCACTTGGATATTACAAATAACATCTGTATAAACACCAAAATCAAAGTGACAATATAAAAAACTAGCAAATTATTTCCATTAGAAAGTTTTACTTTGAAACATAAATCATAAATCATGATTTGAAACATAAATCATGATGCTTCCAAATACCATTTCAATCTAAATTCAATTTTGAAAGCAATGGTCTATATTTTAAAAAATCTTTTAACTTCAATTTTCTTTCACATTCATCTATAAATTGCAGTCTACACTATATAGACATGAATTACTTTATAAGAAAACCATAAAATAGCAAAACCCAAGAGACAAATCACATAAAAATCACATACGTATTGTAATAATACCGACCAGCCTTCTTTTAACTGATACTGTATAAATGGTTAGGAGCCTAGCAAGGTCAGTTACATTAACTTTAAACCAGTAACTACAAAGTTAGAAGTTGCCAAATTGCCACATACCTAATTTCTCAGGATGGCTCTCCCATCACAACCACTACTGACTCTACTACCATGAGTACTTTCTGAGGAAGTTAGTACATACAATCATTCTAACACCACATACACAAAGCCCTCCTGTAGACTGACATAATCATATGTACGAAACAATTATATTTAATGATAATCAGAAAACATGTCAACCAGAATATTGTTTTTCTTGGTAAAAAGACCAGAATGTAGTGGCTGTAACCAGATTTTCTCACTTCCCCTTCACCCGCTTCTGCAGTTCATCTTTTCTAAAAATTACTGAAGCATAGTTCTTGAATCTTTCTATCCCATTTTCTCGTATCAAAGGTGACTAACTGGGATCTTGGCATCCCAACTAAATAAATATCATGTTTCACTTAAATATAAAACATGGGCTCTTAAAAACACAAAAATGGGCACTATAATACTAAAAGTACTCATATAAAGATTTCATTGTCTTAAGACGTGATATAATTTTAAAAGTAAATTTGAAAGCACATTCAATGTTACATTTCCTAATATGAAACAGCCGTCTTGGAAAAGAGTTGAATTTTATCTATACCACCTCTAGCGACAGGTGCAGTTTTGTCAGTAACACAGAATAAGGAAATAAAATCGTAAAGTATTGTCTTAAGGGGTTAACTAGATTGGCTATCTTTATTGATTAAATTTACCAGAAAACTGGCTGTATTTTGCTTACTTTAAGCACAGCATCAAATAGGAGAAACCTAATGTTTCTGTGTCTTAGTTCTATTTAAAATTGAACATTTGTGGAATAAAGTAACTTAAATCGTATAAAATTATGTAATGTCCAAGTTGGGAAAAAGAACAATAAACTTGAAAATTATGTTGCTTAAATTTTCTTCATAACATTTTAGAAATGTGATTTTTCAGTTATATAGAGTAATTGTCAGAACAGAAATGTATTACTTCATTTGACAGGTCATTAAAATTACAGAAAACTGTCAGATTTTCATCGACATACTGAGCTAAAAATCTCTCTCTACTCACGGAAGTTTGATCAACTAGTTTTGATTTTACGCTAACTTTTAGCTAGTGTAACACAAATTAAGTCTATAAATATCCACTATTTTTCATGAAGCCCGTCAAATATTTTGAGAGAAAACGGCAGTTAATATTTACTGAAAATTTACTCTGTGTTTGGGTTCCTTCTATGTGCTTTAAATACCGGAGCATATCATTGTTAATCACTCCAACAGTCCTATAAGACAGATTATTACCATTCTCATTGTCCAAATTAAGAAATCAGATCTCATAGTGTAATGTAATAAATGGTGCAACTGGAATTTGAATCCAGATCTGTCTGACTATAAAACAAAAAAAAGACCTTGCTTTTTTTTCCTGCTCCCTGCTACCTTATGTCTTTCAGCAAATTGTGAATATGTAAAATAAATATTATTATAACAATGGCATTACTTGTGGCATTAATATTAAATATGTCAATTTTAAATTATTCAGTGTTTTTAAGAAACTATGTGATCATCATTGTACCCTAGTTGTTGATCATTTATAAATAATGCTAACTTTATATATGTTCCAATTCTAATGGAAACATTTGAACAGGTTCAGAATGAAGATTTACACTAAAATATCATACTCATTTCATGCATTAAACTATCTGATTCCAAATTTTTATAACATCTGCCACATTGCTGTGATTATTAGGCTTTATAGCGTTACTTTCAGAGTGATAAGCTAAGTATTACATTATCGCTCATAAAACACAATACTTATTTTCCAATATACTTTTCTATTAAAACCACAGTTATACAAATAAAAGGATAATCAAAATTACATGTTTCCATTAGTCAACACAAAAAGTCAACATAATTTGACTTAATATCTATCTCTAGCCCCAATCCTTACTCTGCACTACACTCATATTCAACCACCTTCTCAGCAAGTCTTTTTGGAAGTCCAAACTGAATTCTCTTTCCTTCCTCTTATACTGCTCCTGACAACCCCACTCACCCTGCAGCCTTCCTCATCTTGATCCACAGTAACTCCATTCTGCCAGTAACTTAGTTCTCTCACATCTCACACCAAAGTCCCTGGAAAATTCCTGTCCATTTTTCATATAAAATACATCCCATATCCACTTCTTACCAACACCATTAGAACCATTCTGGTCCAAGCCACCATCATCTCTCATCTGGACTATTACATTATCTCCCAACTGGCTTCCTGACCCCCTATAGTATATTCCCAAGTAACAGCCTCTAGTGATCCAAAGAAAACATTAGCTAGATGATGCCAATCTTAACTATGCGCTTCCCAACTCATTCACAGAGTGAAGTGGGAGTCCTTAAACTTCCTATAAAACCCAATATGATCTGGCCCCCAGCTACTTCTCTGAGCTTCTCTCCTGACTGCTCTCTTCCTACCTGCTATTCTTAGAAGAACAGACATGATTCACAGGATTCACAGACATGATCTCACCTCACGTCCTTTGCATTCATTGTACTCTGTCTAGAATAATCCTCTTCCACATATTTGACATGGCTTCCTCCTTCACCTTCTTTGGTTCTTTGCCCAAATGACACTGCTATGAATGTGCTATGGTTTGAATGTTTTTGTCCTCTTCAAAATTTATGTTGAAACTGAATCCCCAATGCAATAGTGCTGGGGACCTAATGGGAGGTGTTTAGGTCATGAGGGCTGTGCCCTCAAAATGGACTAATGCCACTACAAAAAGGCTTTCAGGAGTGGCTCTGCTCTCTCTTGCCATGTAGGAACATAGCATTCATCCCCTTTTTACCCCACTGCCTTCTGCCATGTGAGGATGCAGCAAGAAAGCTACCATCAGATGCCAGTGCCTTGATCTTGGACTTAACAGACTCCAGAAGCATGAGAGAATACATTTCTGTTCTTTGATACATTTCTGAGATTATATAGTCTCGGGTATTTTGTTACGGCAGCACAAAACAAACTAAGACAAAATGTGTCCCTCAAAACCCATGTGTTGAAACTTAGTGGCCAGTGTGATAGCACTGAGAGGTGTGGCCTTTGGGAGATGATTTTTAAGCCACGAGAGCTCTGCTCTCATGAATGGAATTTGTATCCTTATAATAAAAGATCAGACTGAAGGGAGCACTCTGTTGCCCTTCTACCTTCCACCATGTAAAAACAGAGCAACAAGGGGCCATCCTGGAAGCAGATAGCAGCCCTCACCAGACATCAATGGCAGCATGTTGGCCTTACATTTCCAAGCATCCAGAAGTATAAGAAATAAATTTCTGTTCTTTATAAATTAGCCAGTCTGTGGCATATTTTTATAGCAGCATAAACATACTTAAGATAGATGCCTTATCAGTAAGGGTGCTGTTTGTTGTCTCTCTCTATCCATCAAAATATTAGCCTTATCAGTAAGGGTGCTGTTTGTTGTCTCTCTCTATCCATCAAAATATTAGCCCCATGAAAACCTAGTTGTTTACTGCTGTGCCTTCAGCATCTAGAAAAATGTTTGGTTCACAGTAGGTGTAAGATTAATATCTTAATATTTTTGTCAATTTTAAGCAAAGTGAGGACAAAACATAGTTTTATGTTTATGAGCAATAAGTTGAACATAATTGTATCTAGTATTTATCATTAATGTCAATAACACTATACTAATTATATCAAAATGACAAAGAAGACATAGGGTAGCTTTTCCCTAGTATATAACTAAAAGGCAAGGCACTAGATAAAATGGGTGCCATTGTTTCCCTCTTTATCCCTTAAAATGCTTGATATGGTCAAAGATAGCCAAAAGTTTCAGAACTGTTTTTAAAAGCTGTATTTCCTCCCAAAGTAACTTTTAAAGTGAAAAAGCAATGCTATTTATAGAGTTCTACATATCTCACTACCAAAATTCACCAAAACTTTTTACAATAAATGGCAGCTGTTGTCATTTATGTGTAAAATAGCACTGTACACAGATGAACCTGAATCTAACATGCTGGTGAGCAGAGTTCATAAATAAGTGAAAAACAACACATTAAGAGTGCATTAGAACTTTGAAGATGATTTAGGGATATATAATTTGAAAATTCAAGCCACAGATATGTCAAACACACTGCATTCATTGACTTCTTAATAAACCTAAGCACCAGATTCAGTTTTTTACTTAAACAATTTGTATGAAATAAAATCAGACTATCATATTAAAAATATTAGTATATAGATATCATCCACTTATTTTGTATGTGTCTACAAAGATTATAATCAGAAAAACATTTATATTAACAGGAAAACCATGATATAAAATTATATATAGTAGGATTATAAGGATGTATTCTAAAAAACCAAAAATGGAAGGAAAAACAATAAGCTATTAAGTTTTATTAGGGTGGTTGGAGAGTAAGAGATTTCCTTCTTAGAGCTTTGTAAATATTTTATTAATAAAAACTACATGGCAATTTATACTACTTGATACTTCAAAACTTATAATAGTATCTAATGCCATTTAACATAAACAACTGTAGGAACAAGAAAAAAGACGTAATAACCTACTTAGTATACCTACTACAACAGTGGTTCTCAATGACAATGTTTTGATGCTGTGCATTAAGTTGTTTCTTCTAATACTTACATTAGAACAAAATAAAAGCAAGACACATAAAGAACATTCTTCCTTACCCACATCATTGTTATCATTGAATGGGGGAAAGAATGAAGGAATGGGAAGTGTGTCATGACCCCATTTTATTTATGCTGAGTTGTGTCTGGTGTCTTCAGCTCATGAACACCGTCCTGTGTGTGTGTCACATCAGGTGAATTGTGACAGAAAAAGTCAGACCACTGCATTGCAGTGTCACTGAGAAAAGAGAGCAATAGCTTTTTCTACTTACTCTCCCATTGCTGACAATACCCATTTCTCCAGGACGCAATTTAAGTACATCTTGACAGAACAACTGGTGAGTTCGAAAAATATTCACTCCAACAGTGTTATATTTTTTCTCAAAAGCATTCTTATTCATCCCCTAAAGTAAAAGTTAAGATTGATGAAACTAATACGAGAACAGTAAATATATTAAATCATTTTGCTTAAAAAGCTACTTTAATATTAGTATAAAATTTTATATAATACTTTAAAAAATTATTTAGTATAATTTTCTTCTGAAAGAACATTTTTAAAAAAAGAATTGTGTTTTGACAAGTCATTTATAACATGCTTAAATCTTGTTACAAGTTGATACAGTTTGCTATTCATTCTTTGAGAATTTCAGAGAAATTACCAGATTAGTAAACTAGGGAACAACAATTTAAATAAAATTTGATATGAAGAAAATGAAATTAAATATTTATTAAATTCTGAACTCAGTACCTCTTATTTGGTATTCTCAATTTAAAAAGTGTTAAAATGGAAATACTCCTTTCTCCCCATCATACTAATCCCAGAAGATCAGTTTAGTAATAATATATTTAAATATGGAAATAATAAAAATAACCCTTGGTCAAAGTAAAAAAAATATGGACATTCACAGAAAATAAGCCACATATATGCTCATTGCACCTTCATATTAAGGTGCATTTCTCTCTCTCAGTACTTCCCAAACTTTAATGTGCATATCAATCACCTGGTATCTTGTTAAAATGCAGAATCTACTTCAGTAGAATCAGGGCCTTAAATTCTGAATTTCTAACAAGTTCCCAGATGCTCTCATGATGATGAAAATGTTCTTGCATTGTCCAATATGGCAGCCAAGGCCTCACGTGGTTATGTGGCATTCAAAATGTGGCTACTATGACTGAGGAACTGAATTTAAAATCTTATTTAATTTTAATTTAAGTATAAAATAGCCATATGTAGCCAGTGGCTGTGGTGTTGGACCGTGTAGGCCCTGATCCTCTTTACCTCCAAAATCCCCATTCCAATCATCCCCTTTCTGACCACAACCTCATGACCATCCCCATCCCTAATTACTCAATCTTTCAGTCCACAGACTCTACCATTTATTCACTGTCCATCATCCTTCCCATGGTATAATTTCCTTTTAACCAAGTTCTATTTCAGGGTACTTTACTAAAACCAAAACTTTCTCCATGTTTAGCTCCCTCAAATGCTCCCCCTCAGTCATATAAACTGGGCCAAACCCCAACCTTGGTTAAACAAAACTGCTAAGTCTGCAACTGGATGAAAATAGTAAAATACAGCTGGAGAAAAACATACGACCAACGCTGATCCTGCTTTAAATTTATGATCATTAATCTCAAGTGGGCCCTCAGCAATGACCAGAAATCTTCCTTCACTAGTGTATTAAATTTACTTTCTCACTCTCAGAATAATAGTAAAATATTCGACATTTCCGCTTTTTGTCCTCGACCCTTTAAAAATACATCCTGCCACTCTAATCCTTAGCTAATGATCTGACTTTTGAAAGTAAATCAATCAAAACAACTTATAAATATTTTGTCTGTCTTTCCTCCTACAATGTAAGCTCCACAAAGAACAGGGACAGGGACTCCATCTGCTTGTTCACAAGTTTATCTCCATTGTCTGATAAACAATCAATATGTATTTTTCGAATGAATAATGATTCTTTCTTCAAGAGGATCACCATTGAAATTCCCCCCATAATGGACCCCTTCAGTGAAATACCTGAGATTTACATAACGCTTTAACCCCCAACTATTCGCTTAAGTACATATCCTAACAAAAATGCCATCAACTTTAAGAATCATGTAGTTAATAAAACATATGAAATTTGATTTATTAAATGCCTCTGTGCAAAGTCATATCATTTAATGTTTATCTTTTCCCATTTGAAAAGGAATGTTTATTATCTCCATTTGTTTAAACCTGTTAATCTTTTTCAGTAACAGTATCTCCAAATACATTCACTTATACTTTTAAAATATGCAATATGTACATATTTAATATTTCAGATAGCTACTGACCTCAATAAGGAATGTTTTAATTTTATCTCCAGAGTAAATAGCTGTAGCAGTTTCTTCCTTTGCCAGTCGCCCAAGAAAGCTTCTCAAAAACCTGGTCTTCTGTGTAAGAAAAGCTGCCAAAATTCCTCTAGAAATAGCTGTGTTCTCTTCATTTATTTTTGATGTAGGATTATAAATAATCCCCAATCGACTATGAACACTTGTTTTCTGCAAACACATTTAGAGATGAAAAGGACCAGTATCTTACATATCTTTTTACAGGTCAATATATTTTCTTTCCCATCCAGTTTGTTCGCTATATCATGCACCATCTTTCACTATCAAAGCCCTCCCATGTTGACTGTACTAAATGTGATATACCACTGAAAGAGCCTAACAATCATTTTACTAACTCCAATTCCTTCACATCTTTGCATAATGATTCCTTTGTAATGTAACATTATATTTAAGCTTTTTGTATGTGAAATAACACAAATAAAAAATACACAAAACAAAATGTAGAGCTTAGTGAATTAACCCATACAACTACTATTCTGGTCACTGGCACCGCCAGCAATCCCCAAAAATATTCCTCAGATCTCTGTCAATTACCACACCTTCCCACTTTTCTAAAAACAACCACTCTCTTGTCATTTATGGTAATAACAACTTTGCTCTTCTTTATAGTTTATTCCCTAAGCTTGCATTGCTAAACATTTAATCAATTTTAAATTTCATATAAACGGGATCATGCAGTATTATTTTGTGTTCTTTCTCCACTCAATAATGTGAGATTTATCAATACTGTTTTCTGTAGCTGTAGTCGATTTTCAGTACTGTACAGAATTCCATCATATGAATATACATTCTTTTATCCATTCCACTGTTGCTGGACATCTGAGTTTTTTCCAGTTTAGAGCTCCAAAAACAGGATACACATATCTTCCATTTCAGAAGATGCTAAATAGTTTTTCAAAATAATTGTACTAGTTTTCACTCCCATCAGCAACAGTTCCATCACCTTACAGCCTAAGAAACACTTTGCATTGTCAGATTTTAATTTAACTCATTATCGTACATATGTAAAGATATCTCATCAGGTTTTTAATTTGCTTTTCTCTTATCATTAATGATACTGAACACCCTTTGATATGTTCTTTGGCTTCTTTTCTGACTTGCCTGTTCAATCTGCTTCCAGTATTTTTTGGATTATCTTTTTTGGCCCCTGACTTGGAAGAGTTTGATTTTCTAAGACTCAAGTGCTTTTTTTGGTTATATGTGTAAAGATATGCTTCTCTCATTCTATGGCTTGTTTTGTAGTGTACTGATGTGTTATGATGGGAAGCAGTCCTTAATTTTAAAGTAGTTCCATTTATTGGTATCATACCTGATGGCTACTGGGTTTTGGGTCTCATTTTAGAAATCTTTCTCTAAAGTCAAAAAGATAACCTATATTAACTTTAAGAAGATTTATTGTTTTGCCTTTTATGTTTAGCTCTATAATCCAACTGGAATCAATTTTTGTGCATGACGTGAAAAGAGGAAAGTGTCAAAGATTACCCTTACTGTTCCATAAAGCCAACTTTGTTATAAATCAAGTGTTAATATATGCATGGCTCTATTTCTGGGTTCTCTAATCTTCTTCCATTGCTCTATTTTTCCATCCTTGTGCTAATACCAAACTGTGTTCAATTATGTAGTTTTATCAAAGATCTTGATATCCAGTAAAGCAATTATCACTTTTTCTGCTTTAAGATTATTTTAGCTACTCTTGGTGCTTTGAATTTCTGGATGAGTTTTTGAATCTGCTTGACAATTTCCACAAAAATTTCCAGTGTCTGATATTTTTCATACTATTGTAAATGGTATCTTTACTTAAACTGCATTTCTTGTTTGTTGCAACTCTTAGAAATATAATTAATTATTGGACATTGACCTGGTACTAAACAACCTTAAACTATATAATTAATTCTAATAATTTATATGTGGATATGTATTTTCTGTGTAAACAATTTGGAATGGCAATTGAAAGACAAATCAATAAAGATTATACAATCTGTAGAACAGAATGTAAAAAGAATGAAAAAAATGAACAGGTTCTCAGAGAAACGTGGGACACCATTAAGCATGCCAACATATGCATAATAGAAGACCCAGGAAGAGAAGAAAAAAGAAACGTAGAAAAAATTAAAAAAAAAAAAAAAAACACAGAAAGTTTCCCAATTTTGATTAATAACATAATTTACAAATCTAAGAAACTCAATGTACTCCAATAAGGACAAATATAAAGATATCCATAGCCAGGCACATGAGTCAAAATGTTAAAAGCAAAAGCTAAAATCTTGAAAAGAGCAAGAGAAATGCTTTTTTCATTGCATACAAAAGAATCTCAATAACATTAAAGGCTAACTTCTTCTCAGAAACAACAGAAGCCAGAAGGCAATGAGATGGGGGCGTTCCAAGATGGCGGAATAGGAACAGTTCCAGTCTGCAGTTCCCAGCGTGATCGACACAGAAGATGGGTGATTCCTGCACTTCCAACTCAGATACCTCGTTCATCTCATTGGGACTGGTGAGAGAGTGGGTGCAGCCCAAGGAGGGCGAGCCGAAGCAGGGAAGGGTGTCGCCTCACCCGGGAAGCACAAGGGGTTGGGGAATTTCCCTTTCCTGGCCAAGGGAAGGCGTGACAGACTACCTGGAAAAACAGGACATTCCCACCCAAATACTGTGATTTTCCCAAGGTCTTAGCAACTGGCAGACAAGGTGATTCTCTTCCGTGCTCAATTCGGCAGGTCCCACGCCCACGGAGCCTTGCTCACTGCTAGCCCAGCAGTCTGAGATTGAACTGCAAGGGGGCAGCCTGGCTGGGGGAGGGGCGTCCACCATTGCTGAGGCTTGAGTAGGTGGACAAAGCAGTCGGGAAGGTCTAACTAGGCGCAGCCCACCGCAGCTCAGAAAGGCCTACTGCCTCTAGACTCCACCTCTGTGGGCAGGGCTTAGCAGAATAAAAGGCAGCAGACAACTCCTGCAGACTTAAACGTCACTGTCTGACAGCTCTGAAGAGAGCAGTGGTTCTCCCAGCACGGTGTTTGAGCTCTGAGAATGGACAGACTGCCGCCTCAAGTGGGTCCCTGACTCCCTTGTAGCCTAACTGGGAGACACCTCCCAGTAGGAGCCAACAGACACCTCATATAGGTGGCTGCCCCTCTGCCACTCAGCTTCCAGAGGAAGGATCAGGCAGCAATATTTGATGTTCTGCAGCCTCCACTGGTAATACCCATGCAAACAGGGTCTGGAGTGGAACTCCAGCAAACTCCAACAGACCTGCAGCTGAGGGACCTGACTGTTAGAAGGAAAACTAACAAACAGAAAGAAATAGCATCAACATCAACAAAAAGGTCATCTACACCAAAACCATACCTGTAGGTCACCAACATCAAAGACCAAAGGTAGATAAAACCACAAAGATGGGGAGAAACTACAGCAGAAAAGCTGAAAATTCTAAAAATCAGGGGGCCTCTTCTCCTCCAAAGGATCGCAGCTCCTCGCCAATAACGGAACAAAGCTAGATAGAGAATGACTTTGGTGAGTTGACAGAAGTAGGCTTCGGAAGGTCAGTAATAACAAACTTCTCTGAGCTAAAGCAGGATATTCGAACCCATCTCAAGGAAGCTAAAAACCTTGAAAAAAGATTAGATGAATGGCTAACTAGAATAAACAGTGTAGAGAAGACCTTAAATGACCTGATGGAGCTGAAAACCATGGCATGAGAACTTCGTGACACATGCACAAGCTTCAGTAGCCAACTGGATCACAGGAAGAAAGGGTATCAGTGATTGAAGATCAAATGAATGAAACAAAGTGAGAAGACAAGGTAAGAGAAAAAAGAGTAAAAAGAAATGAACAAAGCCTCCAAGAAATATGGAACTATGTGAAAAGAACAAATCTACATTTGATTGGTGTACCTGAAAGTCATAGGGAGAATGGAACCAAGTTGGAAAACACTCTTCAGGATATTATCCAGGAGAACTTCCCCAACCTAGCAAGACAGGCCAATGTTCAAATTCAGGAAATACAGAGACCACCACAAAAATACTCCTCGAGAAGAACAACCCCCAGACACATAATCATGAGATTCACCAAGGTTGAAATGAAGGAAAAAGCGTCAATGGCAATCAGAGAGAAAGGTCGAGTTACCCACAAAGGGAAGCCCATCAGACTAACTGCGGACCTCTCGGCAGAAACCCTATGAGCCAGAAGAGAGTGGGGGCCAGTATTCAACATTCTTAAAGAAAAGAAATTTCAACCCAGAATTTCATAGCCAGCCTAACTAAGCTTCATAAGTGAAGGAGAAATAAAATACTTTACAGACAAGCAAATGCTGAGAGATTCTGTCACCATCAGGCCTGCCTTACAAGAGTTCCAGAAGGAAGCACTAAACATGGAAAGGAACAACCAGTACCAGCCACTGCAAGAACAGGCCAAATTGTAAAGACCACTGGTGCTATGAAGAAACTGCATCAATTAACGGGCAAAATAACCAGCGAACATCGTAACTACAGGATCAAACTCACACATAACAATATTAATGCTAAATTTAAATGGGCTAAATGCCCCAATTAAAAGACACAGACTGGAAATTGGATAGTCAAGACCCATCAGCATGCTGTATTCAGGAGACCCATTTCACATGCAGAGACACACATAGGTTCAAAATAAAGGGATGGAGGAAGATCTACCAAGCAAATGGAAAGAAAAAAGAGCAGGGGTTGCAATCCTAGTCTCTGATAAAACAGACTTTAAATCAACAAACATCAAAAGAGACATCAAAAAATATATATGCACCCAATACAGGAGCACCCAGATTCATAAAGCAAGTCCTTGGAGACCTACAAAGACACTTAGACTCTCACACAATAATAATGGGAGACTTTAACACCCCACTGTCAATATTAGAAAGATCAATGAGACAAAAGGTTAACAAGGATATCCAGGACCTGAACTCAACTCTGCACCAAGCAGACCTATTAGACATCTAAAGAAGTCTCCACCCCAAATCAACAGAATATACATTCTTCTCAGCACCACACTGCACTTATTCTAAAATTGACCACATAATTGGAGTAAAGCACTCCTCAGGAAATGTACAAGAACAGAAATCACAACAAACCGTCTCTCAGACCACAAGGCAATCAAATTAGAACTCAGGATTAAGAAACTTACTCAAA